TTCTCAGACACTCCTGCGACATAAAGAATGACGATGTTGTTAGGTTTTTGTGTCCCTTCCTCTCTGTCTGCTCTGGGTCTGTCTGAGGTTTTGGCCCAGTTGGGGTCGCTGATGTGTTTCTGTTCCTTCACCTTCCCCTCTGTCCTAGTGGGCACGTTTTCAGCCCGATGGTTCAGGGTCATGACTCCTAGCTTGAGCTGCAGTAGGTAGTGCGAGTCAAACAGCAGGTACTGGTCCGTATGTGTAGGTTTTCTACTCACCTTGATGTTGAGGCTTCTGTCCTCTTTAATGTGTAGTGTGATATTGTCAGCCTTTCCTCCTGTGGGTCAGCTGTGGTGGGTTTGTTCATTTTCAAAGTAGGTCAGTGTTATCTCTATGAAGTGGAGAGTGGACTTTTTAAACCCACGCACCAAGGCCAGGCCAACAGTTGTGCTACATTAATCTGAACTAAAATGTTGTAAATTGACTTTAAGTACAATGAAAACGGGTAAATAGTTAAAAGTATGTGTTTTGACAGCTTTAATTTAAAAATATCACTTACATTTTGTAAAAATCTGGTGAAAGTCACTGTGAACAGAGCGTCTCTATCTTCCCTGGTATATGTTGTTGTGTTGCTGTGCAGTTTAAGGTAAATGGATAATCATGGTGCGGACAGTGGCTTATTGTTGGAAACAAAGAGAAACAAACAATGCATAAATGTGTTCTCTGTCTTCAAGTGTTTTAATGCTCTCAACTAGATGTGTTAACATTGAATGAGGGCGGAAACATTGGGTTTAATTTGATTTTTTTTAATTATCAATCACAGTTTCAGCATCTCTGCCTCTTAGTATCCACAGTGCTTATTTATGTGTGTGTGGGATCCATACTAAAAACGTATGTACAGACAACAGCAAAATATGACATGCACCAAAAAATATTTGACAGTTTCTAGAATCAGGCCTCCACCTTACCATCTTAGTTGCCAATTTCCTGTCTCCAAAACACTGGTAAGCATGGGTAAAAGCTTCTCCCATCAAGTCTGTTTTTATAGATCACACGCCTCTTTCAGGCCTCGTTTTGTGCATACACAGTTGGTGTGTCTCAAATCACATACTTCCGTTAGTACTATGTACCAAATCATTACAGACTGCTAAATGACCCCAATAAACATACTGCTGGCTTACACCCAACAACAGAAAAAAAAAAAAAACACTTGTATTTGTACAATGCAGTGACGTTCACGTTCGCACAGTCCTTGAACGCTATTTCCAGTGTGAAAGTGGTACCTCCCCTTCCGCTACGTAGCCAAGATGGCGACCATTGAGGGCGAGAAGTGTCCATAGTTCGTTTTGAGTGCACCATCCAGGTACTCATAGCGCACTGCATTTTTCCATACTTCTCAGTGTGAACGCACTTATGCACTCTAAATATTAAGTGTAAATACAGAAGTACGTGATTTGAGACACAGCAAGTGTTTATAAATGAGACTCCAGGTGTTTCACAGCTTACAAAACAAACTACGTCCATGTGGGATTTCAGTTGTGAATAAAAGTATGAGCAAATCAAAATGTTGTATAGAAATAATAATAACAATAATAATAATAATAATAATAATAATAATAATAATACACTTTATAGACAGCACAGTGCTGAAAACAGAGGAGCACAAGAAAAATTAAAACACATTTAGTGGTAAAATGGTAAAACAATGTCGTAACAGTATAAAAACATGCATCAATACATTATATATATACACACACAGCAACTCTGTTACCATGCCACCCTAAAGTAGAGAGTCTTTGAAAGATTTTTAATCCTCTGGTCGATCAGTATAAGAAGACACTGGACAGATTAAATCCAGTCAAGGACAGGACCTGAGACAACAACTCTATCCCTGATATGATTTATAAAATGATGATCCAGTGCATCAAAAGCCACACATGTAAAAAATGTACAAACTTCGGCCTGCATCTGTGTTTTCATCAACTATATTACAAAATCGATGTTCACATATCAAGGATTTTAGCACCTAACAGTTTATCTGGCACATTATTTTTATATCTGTGTTGGAAATTCTGGATGGAAAGTTGGCACTCATTTGACTCTAACCCTAACATTATGTTATGCAGATGATCCCAAATAATAAAATTATATTGTTCATAAACTTTTCAGAATATCTTTTAAATTTCATGTTTATCCTTTGTATGTTACATATACGGTATAACCTGCTGTAACCTCTCAAAAGATCACACTTTTTAAACCCAAATCAGTCAGCATATAATCACTAATCACAATCACATGTTTAGGGTCATGACAACATGGTTTGTGCACACTCAGAGCTGCTGTCATCAAAACCCTCTAATAACAAAGACAATGCCACTCTGTATGAAACCTGACACCCATCACGTCACTGTGACTGTGATTTAACATGCACCTGTGTGTATTCATACATCAGACAACAGTGCCATCATGAGGTCAAACACCTGCTACACTATATTGCATCCATCATACAGTAAATGAATGATGTAGCACCCTTACCTACATTTAATTAATGAATTCATTAATTAATTAATTTGCATCTGCATATAACCTTAACAAGTCATAACCATCTTCTGAATTCATTTTAGAGGGTGAAAGTAGGTTGTTTAATGCACTTACTGACTCACCATGACACTATTATATTCATATAATGTTAATATGGCTCTCTTATGTTGCTCCCCTCCTGTTCTTCGTTCATTTTCAGGTTGTGGTTGACTGCTACCAGGGCGTGCTTTTAATTGTTTACTTCTCTTGTAATTTAACGTAAGTGTTATCAATACTTTTCTGGCCTTGTGGCTCCGAACTGTAGATGGGAAACCTCTGGTTTCTTGAAGCTAACTCAGTTAGCTTTAGCCTGTCTCGTAGCTAGTAACTAGCTTTTACAGTCCTGTAATTCTGCTGTGAAGACTGATCGGGAAATGTTGCGATAAAGTTGTGTCAAACAGGTGCTTTATTTCTCTTGCGCTGTGAAAGCAAAGCACAACTCTTTTTACAATTGTTACACAGGAACCTGAGTTTATCAAGTCACTCTCTTGTGACTGCTGTAGCTTTGGAAAGCAGGCGCTTCACTGTGTCTGCGGCACTTGCCTTCCCTGTTACAGCACTTTACTATACACACACAAGAGAGTCTTATAATATATATATTATTTCTTGTAACAAATGCCACCAGACTACCTCACATATACACGTAACCATTCTCGGAACCCATCGGCTGTATTCGGCGTCTGACTTCTGGCAGACGGCGATACAGCCTCTGGGGGCAGACCCCCGATTTTTTGGCATTCTGGTTTGATTTGGGCAGAGGAGGTAAATTTCCGTTTCCTACTTCCGTTTATATGTAAGTAAATATGCTGAACCATTGCGATGGATTTAGAGTTTGCAGTGACACTAGTTATGTTCCGCCTCGTTAGTTCACCACACGGACCGTTTAACCTGGCAACAACTGCAGCCAGCTCAAACGTGATTGGTCAATATCACGCGGACTACAAACAGCCTACAACCGGAAACCAGGGCTCTTCCGCTCTTCATCCGGAGACAAGATCTCCGGGGTTTGCCTACAGACTCTACATTCACTGAATGTAGAGTCTGTATATAGAGACTAACACATAACCTGTCTTAAAGGTGAAATGAGAACTGTGCAAGTTTTCCCCTTGTATCAAGCAGCAAAGAGTCATAGCATGAAGTGTGTGAATTAATTTACTTTATATTGCACATTCTGGGATGTGACTGTTATGCATGCACACATCACAGTGTTGATAGTGGACCAATATATTGTGCAGCGCTGACCCGGGTCTTTAACTGGAGGCACCTGATGGAAAATATTTGTATAGAATAACAGTTATTTTTTGAGGTAAGTGGGTAATCTCTATAAAATGAAATCTGCACATGTATGCAGAATCTTTGGGCAACAGAAGCTTATTGTTTTCAGACTGATAGCAGATGGGTTTCGAGATTGGTAGCTGGGTCAAAAAAACAAAAGCTATACTAATACGTACTAATAAGTCGCTGTGTCACTGTTGTTTCCCATGTTCTTCAGACTCATTGTCCTGGGTTTGTCCTTGTTCTTCCCCTTGGTTGTTTCGTTTGTTGTGTCCTCTCCTGTATGGACTGACGCTCTTACCTATAGGACACAAAACAGTTTAGAGATTAGGTTTAGGTTAAAGCTTAGCTAACGAGTTTGCTAACTGACCTTAAATAACTATGGTAATGAACAAAATGCCAGGAGGAAGTTAAACATTAGCAGTAAGCTTGCCAGCTGTAGCGAGTCACTAATGAGCTCTGTGAGTATAATCACTACACCACCAGGTTTCCAACACCCAATATTTGCAAAAATGCACAAATTTATTTTGCTGCACTGTTATTGACATCACTAAGTAGTAGCCTTCAGCGATATCATAGTATTATATTACACCAGGGTATTTAGAAATCCAGACCACACGATTTCCAATTCTGTCAAAAATACAGACGTTCATCTTTGTATTGAACTCATATGGAGGGGCTGTTTTGAGGTTGTGTGTAGTGCACATCATGCACCACCAAAGGTCAGTCTCTGGTGGAACAGGCAACTGAGCTGACAAACATTGCAACATTTGGAGTTATTGATTCATAGATGGTAGACTGTTTATAATTTTGCAGTCATATGAATGTTGATAAAGGTAAAACTGTGCTGGCTGAACAAACTCAACAACCCTCCAGCAGACGGAGCACCTGACTTCAACAGTGTGGAATGAAGGATGTTACATCTGCATGTGAGCCTACGTCCTATAATACAGTAAAGACAGAACTTGTTTTTATTTACCATCATCATGATTTGGCCCTGGCACAGGCTGTGCTTCTGGCTCTGCCTCTGGCTCTGGCTCTGGCTCTGCCTCTGCCTCTGGCTCTGGCTCTGCCTCTGCCTCTGCTTCTGGCTCTGGCTCTGGCTCTGGCTCTGGCTCTGGCTCTGCCTCTGCCTCTGCCTCTGGCTCTGCCTCTGGCTCTGCCTCTGCCTCTGCCTCTGTCTCTGGCTCTGCCTCTGGCTCTGCCTCTGGCTCTGGACACACCATGTCTGTGGAAAAGAATGAAATAAAATATTAGAATACATGTTAAAATTCTGAAAAGGAAGAGTAGCTGTTATTATCTTACATTAACTGCTGCTCTTCCTTTGGGTCAGAACATTGTGCTGCTGTCGTGCTGGTGACACCTAATGTCGATATTTACTTACCAGAATCTCTCTGATTTTCTCCGTTCCTTTCCCTCAGTGGTTCTAGCTCTGAAAATTTGTATTAAATTGTAATTGTGTAAATTGTCTTTAAGAGCTAAATACGTAACAAATATATAACTTCAGTATCTGTTTATATGAAGCGTTGACATGGCTGCTAGATGTACAGCTGAAATGTTATTGATGAAAAACATTAATCACTTAATTATCACTGATGATCACAGCCAGACAGTGGTAGTTTGTCAAAACTGCAAATGTGTCTCATTCTTTTCTTTAAAATGTGTTATGATTATGGATAAACATATTTGAGAAACTGTGTGAATGAGGAATGAATGATACAGGAGTTATATCTGCATGTTCATTATAAGATACAGTCCTTTGGTTACTTACCATAAACCATATTTGGTGCTGCATCTGTGGGAGAAATGTAAAAAAGTAAAAGTGTTATAATGTGCTCTAATCACAAGTAAATATAACTGATCTTGAATAATTCAATAAACATGTGCAACATTGTGAATATAGCATGCAATTCTAACAAACACTGTTTATTCTAATATGAATCAGTTTTGACCCCCTTATGGTTTTATTGACCAAGTGTTCAATTATAGGTTTACATTTTTTTAAGTCGTTCTTCTGGCAATAGTGACAAATCACAAAAATCTGTCACACTGTGTATATGGGCATTTCACTGTTGTTTTAAGACAGGCTTAAACATTGTGAACCTATTCTTTTAATTGGGTTTAAAAAAGAAGAGAGGAGAAGTTTTTGACTTACTGTTATTACGTCTCGAAAAGCCAACGATGGCAATGACAATGGCAATTCCTCCAATGACAGCAATGACTACATATACTATGTAACCATACTCTTCTGAAAGAACAGAAGAAACATGTCAAGATTTGTTTTTTACTGTGAGATTCCAAGATAACACTGGTTCATTCATTTTTCACACCCACTTCTCCTGCCTAGGGTCACAGTTCATACTCTGTCCCACCAAAACTGTCCATTAGAATATCTTTAATTGCAGCATTACTGTTTAGAGCAGGGCTATTCAGTTACAAATTATATTGGGCTGAATTTCCTAGCCTAAAGCTTATTCAAAGCTTTTTTTAATTTTTAGCTTTCAATAATGACAAATTTTAGACAAACACAAATTAATGTCATAAAAAATAGCAATGCTTGACCTGACCTCCAGAGGAGACTGTCCTATAACGTACAAGTCAGGACAGCAAAAGCAGTATAACACAGGATGAACCCATTTATCATCTCGAACCACAATGATGAAGAAACACTGTCCAAGCTCAGCAAGCTCAACAACCCTCCAGCAGACGGAGCTTTAACAGCTGGCTTCAACAGTTTCTTGTAGGAATGAAGGACACATGATGCAGGTGTTGCATCTGCATGTACATCACAGGGGACAGCATAGACAGAACTTGTTTTTACCTACCCCAAAACGTTGTTAGCTCTGGCTCTGTGAAGAAACATTAAATAAAATGTAAAAAAAAAAAAAAAAATGTGATAAAATTCAGACCCAAAGAAAGACCAGCGTTTATGCTGGTGACAGCTAATGAGGATAAAATTAACTCAAGATATTTACTTACCAGCTTTATTCCGTTCTTCTGTGTCACTCTTCTTTTCTGTTAAATTGTAATTGTGTAATACTAGTCCATACCCGGGGATGTGTTATGTATAGAGGAATAAGAAATCAAAAACAGTATATTAGAGGAGATGCAAAATCAGAGCACTGTAAATGCACTGTGTAATAAATATTAATGTAAGACAAAGAATGCACACTGTATTTAGAAACATGCTTTATGGTAAAATACATGGAGCATAGTTTTGGCTGATGGCAGGGAGGCACGCAATATATCCCCCTAAATCCTGCACACTGGAGCTTTAACATGTTACAAATATTGGCTTTCATTTTAGAAATACTCACCAACATTGAGGAGAATGTTGCAGTGTGGGTCCTGACTTAAATCGACACGGCAAGTGTAATTTCCCTCATCCTGTTCATTTACTTTGCTCACTTTTAGTGAAATATTTCCCTTGGCCATTTCATCATGGAAGAGAGCTGTTCTACCTTTAAAATGCTTATCCTGATGAGTTAGGTCATTCTTCCCTTGTCGATAGAGGTGCACATCTTTGTCATTGCGAGTCCACTCCACTTTTTGAGTCTTCTTGTCAAATGGGGTTTCCAGTTGGCATGGCAGAATGGCGTCATCACCAACTTTGACTTTAACTGTTTTATGTGAGCCAGTCACACCAGAGTCTCCTGGGGAAACAAACATTGCATTAAGCCCTACTGTTGTAATATTACAGAACACTTTGTTTCTCAATATTGATTAAAACACAGCTGGTCTTTTATTACAGTACACAGGCCTCCATAAAAAAATATTCAAATATAGCACAAATTTTAACCAAATCTCCTGAAAATCAGGAAAATACAAAATAATGCACATTTCCATCCTTGAGGCTAATCTTATGCTAATAAATATCTAACCGAGTACCAGACTCAAAGATGACACCCATTCACTACAACAAAATTAACTAATTTCCCTTTCAGACATGGCAGCAGCATGAGACACAAAAGAGCACACATATACAAAGGAACAGCAATAAGATACACTATAAAAAAAAAAGCTGGCAAAAGACACAAAATTAAAAACCACCACGAAATCTGCCTGTCTTGCTCCAATGTATGTCAAGACATCACGCAGCAAGTTTAGAAAATAAAGGAATCAAACGCAAAATCACTTCCTCTTAATCTGTTGCAGCTGTTGCATTATCCTGCTGTGGTTACGCAAACACCAGCTGAGCCAGTTAATGTTACAGCAGCTTTATCAGATCAGCAGGAATTACAACCAGATTTGTGTTCAGTGTCTCAAACCAACACTTTGGAGATTAAAATACACCATGAAGCCGATTCAGCAAACCAGTGAGTCAAAGTCCTCCTGAAGCTGACATTTTAAACTGATTTAGGCGTTTGTTATCACTAGAATTAAAACACACCACAATATTTCGATCCAAGTTGCTTCTCTCATCATCAAGAAACTGCAAACACTCTACATGAGAGTGCGCAAAGTTAGCTGAGCCTGTCTATTAAGGCCTAATTTAACGCATCTTAACATAATGTGTGTCAAATGGTCCGAACTGAATAAAGACTCATCAGCTGAGTAAAAGTTTATCAGTAAGTGAAGGGCCTGTGGTTTGCTGTAATGGCGTTTACCTGTTCACTCGACAAGTCAGAGAAACTTACCTGCAGCGCTCGCCACAGCGAGACAGGACAGCGAAATAAGATGTATTAAGTTCATGGTCGCTGGATGAAGAACGGACAGATCAGCTGAAGATGATTTGACGCGTTATGACGGGTTAAAAAAAAAAAACCAGACGAAACATTCGTTCGTCTGTAGGGCGTCGTCTCACCGTTTATTACTTTCACTTTGGCATTTCATAATTCAGGAAGTGGCTTTAACAAACATTCACATATTTATTCAAGGACTCCCTCTTTTACTTCTAATTTAATTTTATTACTGTATTACCTGACGCTATTATACACACAGACTGTCCAACAACTGCATTTTCTTTTTTTCTGATTCACATTCTTTAAAAAAAACTGTCAGCTGTTATTAACTCAGTAATGAAGGAGACATTTGCAGGCCAATCATTAAATATTGCAATATTTTCAGTGCATGACTTCATTCCCACAAACACCTCTTGAATGCATTTATTTATTCAACATACAATGCTGTACATATATCATATGTTTGCTCTTATTCTATTCTTGCTTTATTCTGCTGATGCATGTATAGTTAAGATTTCACACTTAGAGCCTCGGCACAGTGGCAATATATATTTTATTTTTATTATTTTTAATATCTTCAGTACTGGTGTCACACACTGCATCATAATGCACATTTATTTATTTTTAATGCACATCTTTATTTCTATTGATTTTACTGCTTTATATTCACATACATCTATGTTATACTCTTATTCTTACTTCTTATAATGCTCTATTCTCTGCATCAGCGCGACTGTAATGATCCACAGTTTCCCCTCAGAGATCAATTAAGTATTTCTGATTCTGATTCTTAAGTGTTTCATTGATTCTAAACAGTCAGAAAAACAGCCTGTTTTCAGCTTTGTGATGACGACTTTTCAAACTGATCCAAGAGGGTGTTTAATAGGTTGATTTAGTTTAAGAAGATGGAGAATTTTCTCAATTCATAATTCTCTTCTCTTTTTCTAGAGCTAGAAATGTGTGGGGAATACTGGTACAGGCCACCACCAGGGATGTCTGGACAATGCCACAGGTTTGTTTTTTTTTTTTGTTTTTTTTTTGCTGCACTTGTGCTATGTGCACATAGTGCAAAAAGGTTAATCAAAATCAAAAATTTGATAACATGTAGCTCCAGCAGTGTTATTTACCTTCTTGCATGTGGCGTTCAATTTGTCGGTAAAACAAGAAGACAGCTAGATTCAGGATCAACAAACAAAAGTGCCATTCACTGTGCTGATCCTCAATCAGCTGTTGACAGACACTTTTCAGATGGAAATCATTCTATATCAAATTTGGCATTCTGTGGCATTGACATGATGGAAGTGAGTCGCTGTGGGGTCATACACGCCAAATTCTACTCCAATGTGAGTGCAGATACACTTACCACTTACCTGATACCACCATATCCCAGTGGTTTAAATGAGGAATGTGACATGACCTGTTTGAGACTTTGCTTTGTAGTGCTTGCTAATGGACTTGTAACAATGTGGCCTGTTGGTAATTTTCTTCATGTGTGCTTAATCAAGCTGCTGGTGACTGCCTAGGTGCACCTGTAAGAGTGACATCTGTATATGATGAAGCAGGTATGCATGCCTCGTTCTGCACTAAGTGTAGGTCCAACATGGACTGAAACGTGCACTTTTTGCACTCTATGCACATTTGCACAATTTTTCACTGTCTGTGCAGCAAGCCCAGTTCTAGGCAGGCATATATGAGGGGGCAGTTATAAATGTGAAGGGGGCATCATGCTCCAGCACATTTTTGCCATAGGTAGAGCTGACAAATAAAGGTCACTCACACACTCACTCACTCACTCGCAGAATGTGGGGACTCTGTGTGAGTGCCCTATAGAGGGTGTCAAAGCACTGTGGTCTCAAATGTGCTCGCTGCTTGTTTTGTTGTTGTTTAACAGTGTTTTCTACATGGAATTGGGTTGGTGTTAGCTGTGTGTCCAACCCCCAACCTAAAGAAATGGATTGCACTTTGTCAGGCCTCTGCCCTAAGACCTGTCCAACTTGGGTGTCCCACCTGAAGACTAAGCTCCTGCTGGTATAGCTCTTAGGGTCACTGAGGCACGCAAACCCCCTGACCACAATAAAGTGGCAATCCCTCAGGGAGGAGAACTGAAAAATAAAATAAACAAAAAATAAAATAAAAATTAAGAAAAAAATAAAATAAAAATATCCTTCATCCAGGCACAACCAACATCTTAGAACTCTCAGAACTAACAAAAACAACAAATATAGGCTAGAGCAGAACATTTTATATTTTTTTGTTTTGTTTTGGTTGTTTTTTGTTTTTTCTTTGTTAGCAATTTAACAGATGTCTCTTCACTCCACTCTCCTTTGAGCTGCTGAAAGCTGCAGGAGTGAAAAGTTAATAAAAGCTTTGTAAAAAAAAACAAAAAAGCTGTGATTATCAAAAAACAGCGTGCAGAACTAGAGGCTGGGCAGGGCTTTACGTAGGGGTCTGGCACACACAGGGCATTTGTCCTCAGTATGTGACATGCAGCAGGCACTCATCTCTCGCTGTGCTTGTGTGATTGAAGAAACGTTCGCACTGACAGGCTCACACTGCTATATTTACTTTTGTTTTTTGTTGTTAACTATATATTAAGTATCTCACGACACGAGACACTACGATGAGTTTAACGGAGCTTCACTTTACTGCTGCATTCTCACTGAGACTGAGAAACCTGACGCTGATGCAGCTTGGCTCATTTGCATACTAAACAGTGATTGGGTGTTTACTGGGGGGAGGGTCTCTGCCGACTGCAGACAGTAGATCACACACAGCCGGCACACAGTAGTGATGGGATTTCTCGTTCACTTGTGAGAGCCGGTTCTTTGGCTGTCGTTCACTTTGAAGAGCCGGTTCAAAGATGCAGTTCGTTCGTTCGTTTTTTGTTTTTGTTTTTTTTTTGGGGGGGGTTATTGCTGTGTGTGTGTGTGTGTGTGTGTGTGTGTGTGTGTGTGTGTGGAGGGCCGGTGTTAGTGGGTTCAATGACGAATCGCATTGCTGATTTATCACATCACATGATCTGGATATTGTAACGTGGACCCAGAATAGACCCTGCACATATAAAGTTTGGTGTAGCCATAGCAACGTCCTTTACAAGCCTGCCAATACAAGCAAGTGCTGATAGTGGGTTAGCTTCCTACCTTTCATTTCTAACCGAGGGGGGTCATCAACACAACGTGAATTAGGTACTGGCTCGTTCACTCTAAAGAGCCGGTTCACTCGTTCACTTCAAAGAGCCGGTTCAAAGACTCGGCTCACATCACTAGCACACAGCGCTGAGTTAAGTGGAGACAGATGAGAAAACTTTTCTGTTATTTCAAGCTGCACGTAACTGTAAGTAATGAGTCATTGCTTTTATTACGGTGTTTAATCTTTCCATGTATCTCTTTCTTGCACAATTCCTGAGGATGAACTGCATGAGTCTTGCGCAATCTGGTACTTTCCTTTCTCTGAACTGGAATAACAGATATGTGACAGTGTGTAAACTGTGTGTGTGAGATATCGACCCGCCTCTCGTGTGTTGGAGCTGGTCTGGGGCACTTCCTGTGTGGTCTGTTACAGCTGGATTGTGGGCTGTCTGTGTCCTGGAAAGATTGTCCTCTGTGACGGTCCTGTTCTGGGGTGTCCAGTTTATCATTGATGAATCTGTGTCTCTGTTAAAGGGTTTTATATTGTTATACCAAACAAAACTATCATAAGCCCTAAAATATTGTTCCTCTTCAAATGTATAATTACTCTGTTGAGTTTTTGACGACGACTGATACTATGGAGCTATATTTTGATGAGGGGCTGACTGTTTTGTTAGTGTCTCTAACATGAGCACAAGCATGATCATTACGTGATAAATATTCCTGCTGTGCTGCAAGCTAATGGACATTCCTCAGCTTCATGCCAATCAGACAGTCGGAGGCGGTAACTTGCCATTAAATGTAGTAATGCACCGGCAAATAGCTTTGCAAATGTTTTGAAGTCAGGAAATGCAGTCACCAAATTTGTAAAACGCTCGGGCCACACTGCCTGCATGAGCTGCTTGTACCTCACTGACCTGCTGCAGCTCACACACATGCAGTGTTCACACAGACAGTGTTGCCTGCTGCTATGGCTGCTGTATTTCCACAACTGTGAGACGGTACTCCGCTCATTCATGGAGCAGTGCAAGCCACTGCATATGATGTCAGTATCATTATTGAAAGACCATTTTCATCGTCTTTTACTTTCTAAAAAAAACAAACGCAACACTGCTCACACAGGCAGTGTGGTCCGGGGGTTAGGTTTTTTTGTAGTGATGGGCATTACAGCTCTTTGAATTGCCTTTTTCAGTTGTTTTAGTATTCAGTATTTAGTATCATCATATGAACAACCAAAAGAGTGAGGACATTTTGGCCAGTCCTTACTTTTTTAAAGGCCTGTTCAAGGGTTAAGATTTGTTTTTAAGGTTCAGGTTAGAATTAGGTTTAGGTTTGGGCAGGGGGGCCTGATTAGATGATATGAAAACACGTGGGGGCCAGCTGCTTCTCGCATTAAACAGGTTATCGGAAAAAAATAATCATTAACAAACAAGACAAACGCAACTGTTTCATCTTTCAGTAAATTTGTATTTAACTTTCCACCACTCCTGAAAGTCAGCGATCCTCACTGTTTACTTTATGCTTTTGCTTGTCTTATTTCTCTGCACCATATTTATTCGCTAAGCCCCTTGTTGCCCATAGAAAAATACTTCAGGTGTTCCTGCCAGACATGGGGGAAAGTCACACATGTGCAAGTCACAAGCAAGTCTCAAGTCTTTATCTTCAAGTCTCAAGCAAGTCCCAAGTTAGTTGTGGTGAGAATCAAGCAAGTCACAAGTCAAGTCACGTGTCACATACAGCAAACATCTCCTCACGATCCACTAGCTACCGGTCTCTGTCGGCATGGGCTCCGCACATGGCAACAAAAACATCTGGTGTTTGATAACACTGTTGAACGTAAACTGAGGTGACGCCCAACGGTGCTTAGCGTGCCTTTAATACTGAATTAAAGCCAAGTCCTTTCGAGTCATCTGTCTCCATCTCCTGGAGCGTTTGGGTACGCAATCCTTCTCATCTCTTCTTCATTCATGTTTTGGTTGTTCTGTTCTTTTCCTGTGAAAATATGAGGTGAGGTGGTTCATGAGGCAGGTAATGAATCCCAAATCATTGGAACATCAGTCTTATTTATAGATGATCTTTTTTTTTTTTTTTTGTACTCAAAATGGGTGTTTTAAAATTGGAGAGATTTTAGTCCATCATCATTTCATTTCCATTTACTCAAGCACTTTCTTCTGTCTCTTTTTAAATATTTAATTTACGTGACATTTAAAATGGGAGAAAGACAAATTCTGCACCTGTGCATGATCCAGTTTACTGACCACACCTGACAGTGATATTTGTTTAGATCAGAGGTGCAGTGAGGTTTGAATGAAAAAAGGTCAGTGAAATAATTACAATGTCTTTAACAGGAAAGTCAACAGGTTAAGGGTCAATTGTAATAATTTGAGAAATGTAAGACTTACTGGACTTTCTACATTTCCAGATCACCACGATGATGATGATGATGATGATGATGATGATGGGGATGGGGATGACGACACTGGTAAGAGCAGAGGAGGTGTCATTGCCAGTCTTGCCATCACCACCTGAAAGAATGTAGGTGAGATGTTAATGTCAGTGTTTCACTGCAGACTTCTAATGTTTCACTGATCTCTTCTTCTATCCATTTTCCCTACCAGCTTTCAGGATTGGTGCTGCAGCATATTCCTGAATGCTTTTGGCAAGAGGCAGGAAAGCGTGCTCAAGGTGTTTGAGCAACTGTAACCATTCAAGCCACACTGACAGGGTGTGTATTTCTACGGCACCTCAAAATAAATGCTGTTAACAGTGTGTTGGTGGTTTGCTGGTAGCTGCTCTTAAACTAAGAACTTGCTGTGGCTTTTTCTGTTTCAGTCACCACCACACTCACAGATCATTAAAGGAATTCTGAAATCAATCCTTAATTTGACAGGAAGCCATTATAACACATTACTTGTTTGTCATCTGTGACGACCCCTTGCCATGCTCTGGATGGCTCTGTTGCTGGTTCTTGTTTGTTGTTTTGCAGGAGCTGAGAGGAGGCTGACTGAGCCATACCTGGGCCACCAGGCACACCAGTGTGCTCCAGTCCAGTCCAGTGTATATTCAAGTGTTGAATATACACCTCACTGATACTCAATACAACACAGTCTCTGGCTTTTGTTTGATAAATTGAAGATAGGTCAAAGGGGAATTGCAAATTAATTCTGCTTTTACTGACACTTTAACAGCATCCCAACTTTTTTGGAATTGAGGTTGTAATAAGTTTAATACAGTTATATGTCCACTGCGAATGTTAACTGCAGATAGACAACACCCGGGCCCTGTACAAATCAAGTTCAACTTAGTATTTGGGTTACCTGTCTGTCCTGAGCCTGAAGAGCTGGCATCACGAGGCTTGTTAATGAGTCCAGAAGAGTCAATTTTTACACGTTCATGGACTGTTAGAAAAGAAAACAAAATAGGTATTAAAAATTGTTCCAATAACTCAGTGCAGGCATTTATTACATCCGCTCCGAGGAAAGAAACATTTCTGTGTGCTTAGTTTGTTTCAAGATGCAACTGACTGCAGATGAAATATGTCTGCTTAAAAATCTAGCCACATTTAGGCACTTTAGGCATTTCTTTTAATTATCAGTGGCCAGTCAAAACAGTAACTATGTCATTAACATAGGGAGAGCGGGTATGGTTGGGTATTCTTGTGTTAGAGCTGTAAAATTTTGACACAAACAAATTACTACAAATTGTTTCCAACATCTACATCACAAAATGTATAAATCGTTGTTGAATGCAAAGAGTTCCACTGTTACAAGTTGCCCCACTACCAGGGGAAAACACTAATAATCAGTTCCTACTAAGATCTAACACATGGCAGCTTTGTTAGTCTTTCTCTGGGGATTTGTAATTTCCTGCACTATGTACCATCTGTCACCAGGCGTATTCTTTAGAGACAGACCTCACTGTCTTTATCTGCCCCACCTCTTCTCATGTGGTTTATAGTGTGTGCAAGCACACCCGTGTTGCTTTTCTCACCAACTCTCCTGGCATGCTGAAAAAGGAGTAACTCAGAGGCCGTTTACACGTGGCTGGCTATTTTCATAAACGGACATTTCACCGTCTCCGTTTTCAAAAAGATCTTCGTTTACACTTACCCGTGTATATATACACAAGAGCATGCCAAACCTGTAGGTGGCAGTGTAACGAGAAGCTCAAGCCTTCCATGTATCCGTTGTCACCATAGCAACATAGGTCGCACTTTTGAGGCGCAAGTTCCGGCGCATACTGTGACATCGACTGCCTATAACTCCGTTTATCTCCGATTATCTCAGTTTACATGCAAACGCGCAACCGGAGTTTTCCAAAATCTCCACTCTGGCCGGAGTTTTTAGAAAGACTCGTTTTCAGAGGAGAAATCTCTGTTTGCATATAAACGAAGGGCACAAACAAAGGAAGATGTCTCCGTTTATCAAAATCACCGTGTACGTGTAAACGGCCTCTCAGGCCCCGTTTATACGACAACAATTTCAACTGAAAACGGTAAACTTTAGTTTATGTTTTGGCCGATCGTTTACACAACAGCAGCGTTTTGGGTGCCTGAAAATGCAACGATTCGAAAATGGGTTCCAGAGCGCAACTTTTTGGAAACAGCAGCATCTCCATTGTCATGTAAACGTGCAATATGCAGCTCCTCTGAAAACAGAGACTTCTCGCACAAGCGCATTACGGTTCCAGTCACTAGGCATGCCGACCGTCGCAACAACAATGCCGAGCTCTGTTTGTGCTGCTCACCCTGTTGATTTGAAGTGAAGTGTAGATCTGTTACTGCAGCAACTCCACCTCGTCGTCCACCCAGACAAAGTTATCTGTGCGTGCTTTCGCCATTGTGTCTTCTTTGGTTTGGTTTGTAATCACCGCATTGTAGAGGAAGGCGCTTCAGCGCAGGCGCATGGCGTCATGCCGTAGTGTTGCTTTGCAAATTTACACTGCCACCCATTGACCTGGCGTGCATACTGCAGCGTTTCCAGTAGATTTTGCGGCTCCGTGTGAACGGGGATAGTTCCAATAACGTCGTGATATAAACGCAGAAGTTTTTTTAAAACGCAAAGGACAGACTTTTCCATTTTTACTGAAATCGTTGTCATCTAAACAGGGCCATAGTCTATAGAGAAAATGTGTTTAGTCTCATTGGGGTTAGGTGTAACACTTTTTTTATAAGGTGGAATATCAATATTTAACACTGTAAATAATTTCACTGTAAAATAACAGTTGAGAGCTGGCAACACACACACCAGCAATATACTGTCATTTTACAGTAATAATACTTTGAAATGACTTTACAACTCATTACTGTAAAACCAAGATATGGCATATTTCTGTATTCTACAGTGTACAGTAAAATACTGGCAGCACAGATGCCAATAATATATTTTAATTTTACAGTATCCATACTGTTTCATGTTTTCACAGTCTATTACTGTAAAAAATATGTTTAAATTTCTATGAATATTATCCGTATTGAGCAATAAAAACTTAGGAGAGATTGAAATTAAATACATTCATTTAAAAGGGCAGTGTCGACATGAACACTGCTACCATCACTGTTGGACAACTCGGGGTAATGAGCCGATAAGATTTAAAGAAGCAACCACAAGCAGCCTGCTAGCGTTAAATTCGGCTTGTCAGAGACGTCCTCTAACCTTGACCAAACCTGACAACACCTGAGATGACAGCCTCAGCGATTTGGCCCCGATGCCAATATTAGTAAGTAAAAAATTCCAATATCAATTATATGTTAACGAGAATGTCCTTCCCTTAGATGCAGACCATTATTTTAATGCTGCCAAAATAAATAGACAAAAAACACCCGTAAATCTAGGATCACTGTTTGAGCTATTCTGTCTCACTGAAATTACCAGCCGGACAGTCTGTTGAGCATCAGTTTGATATCAAGTATTCTTGGCAATATGAACCAAATACCGGCAAAGAAAATAAGACTTTAATTATCGTCCACTTAGCAGATGCAAGACCCGATTGATGTTGATGAGGAAGGCCGATGTGCAGCACGTCTATTTTTCTTAAAGGAAATTGACCGAGAAACAGAAAGCATGTGCCTAATGTTAGAATAACAAGACTAATGTTTTATCAGACTTTATCAAATTTTCCATGCAACACCCAGTTTGCAAAAATACGGTAGTGTCCTGTAATTCAAGACAGCAGCAGACTGTTAAGAGCCTTTGTCCTGTTGCTTCAAGTGGAGCAGCCCACAATGCATTGCTAATTACAGTATCAAACCTTTGTACACAAATACAGTAATTTAGCGTCGGAGATTCTAAATTAACAGCAACTGCTTACAGTGAAGCTTTTTGGTGGTTTTAAATGAGCAAAGATGAAATGCCTCACATTTTGTACATTTTAGTAAAATAAACTTCATGATGAAAAATGTGATGAGCCTTGGAGAACTTACCAGAGAGGTACGTAAAACAGGAGAGAATTTCTTCTCCAATAACAGAGCAGCGATATCTCCCACTATCAGACATCTGTACTGTGAGGCGCAGTGAACAGTTCCCTTCAGGAAGTTTGTTGTCGAAGAGAGATGTTCTTCCTCTGTACTCCTTCATCTGATCATCAAGTTTCTGTTTTCCTCCGCGTTGTGCATGAACATGGTGATCTGTGTCATTAACAACCCACTCCACTGTCATGTCATTGACATTCATTTGAGGCACATACAAACACCGTAGAATCACTGTCTTGCCGATTTCTGCGTCCACTGAGGTATCTGGGCACTGTAACACTGGGAGAAACACAGCAAAAAGATTTTGACCCAATTCAGCCTTTGTATCCTCAGCAGCAAAATACAAAATGTACCAGATTTTAAATGATTCAGAGCCAGAGAGCCCCCGCCAAGCTACATTCAAACGTGCTCATGCTAGGGTCGTCAGTGTGAAAAAATCAGGGACACCTTCCTCATGGCCCCATGCCCAGGGGACAAAAATCAAGTTAGGCAGTGTTAGGCACTTTATTTCCTGCATTCTGGCTATTTTTTATGCATCGATTTATGTAAGAGTGACTCTGTGGAGTCAGTTATATTAAGGATGAAAACATCAGATCACAGACAGGCAAAATGTTTGGTACTTTGGAAGAAGACAGAGGAGGCTTTATGCAGGAATCCTGAAGTTAAACCTTTGAAGAACTTTTGAAAGAAACTTTTCAGCCTACATTTTAAGACCTCATCACCACTTGGACTTCTAACTTGTTACATCAGCCAGACAATTTAACTTCCACTTACTACTGCTAACTTTACACTGACTGTAAGAAAGCACAACTAAACAGTCTAAACAGTTCCTGATAACTGCTTGGACCACTGTGTCCATGCAACATAATTCAGATAGACGGGGTAGGGACAATGGGATAAGGTGGACATGAAATATACAGTGAGAGATTTAGAGTTAGGCCTTGTTTGTAGGTTTGCCAATATTAGTGATCATGTTATTATTTTGCAGTCCACACTGTGTTGTCTGAAATATTACCTGCACTGCAAAAATCAATCAGGTGGTTTCACTTAAATATTGAAGTCAAATCAACTGCATTTATTAGTTGTTTGAAGTGATTCTGTTGAGTTGAGTTTAGTTTAGCTTTGGATTGATAGCTGTAAGTTGACTTGATTGTGTCGTACCTGATTACAATATCAGCGTGATGATGGTATATAGGTACATGTGATGAATTAGTGGAACGGGCGCTATTGATAGCCACCGCCGTGCGTAATGGTTGCGCGTAATGACAGCCGCTCTGTGTAACGACAGACTGTCTCTCAACTGACAGGTCTAAAGAGTTGTGGGTGGGCACACATACCGATAAGCAAGCAGATTTGAGGGTGGCTCTGCATACATTCATGTCCCACTGTGGGAGTGGAAACAACGCTCGTGCATGTGCGCCCAGCTCCACAATGACGCATGCAATGTATTGCCCACTCCTATCCCAATGTACATATATATGTCTCGTTAAGGTAACAAGGTCCACGTCGCACAGTGTATTGCACTAAGCTTTTAAATTGCAATATAATCTCAGTCTCTCGGAGGCTGGTGTTTTCAAACAGTCAGTTAAGGTTTCCTCCTTTGTTGCTATGACGAAGCTCTGGTCGGAGCTGATTGGAGGAGGCTGACTTCCCGCTGGACTTGTCTTTTTATATATAGTGACATAATGGGAGATAGCAGCACACAAATGTGGTGAGCTCACCTGTGTTTGAGACAACGTCCGTGGGCTTCATCCATAAAAAGACCAGCAGAATTCCCAGCAGAACTTCACAGTCCATCCTCGTAGTCCACCACGAGCTGAATGAATGAGCTGCAACTTTTCTGTAGCTGCGCAACCTTTCCTGTTGCGGGCGGGACCTCACGCTGTGATGTGAGTCAGATGTCTTCCTTGTCGATAATTGCAGACATGTTTTCAAACCGAATTTTCAGAACTGTTGACTGACGTTGTTTGAGAGTGTTTGTGCCCCGTATGTACGACTTGCTTCCTTAATAACTGTCGCACAGAAAACAAAGATGATCCACAGTTCCCAGACATCACAGTTTGTGCTAAGATGTCTTCCACTGATGCGCAGAGGTAAATTTAGTGAAAGTATGTCGCAATCTAATCCTGCTAACCTCTTCTTTCCTGTTTTTCCCAAGTGACCTTCCCACTCCTATGTCTTGCTGTATCTCACGTGTTAGTAAAATTTCAATGACAGGAAGTAAGGGGTGTGTGTGTGTGTGTGTGTGTGTGTGTGTTTTGGGGGGGGCTGGCAGATCCCCCCTCCAAAGTAATTTTTTTATCCATTGTGCACAGTTTGCACTGGTTCGATTACCTCCATCCACTGTAGAGGAAGTGAGATTGTCATCAAATATTCTTTGTCACCTTAAAGGGATAGTTCAGATTTTTGAATTTGGGTTGTATGGGGGACTTATCCATAGACAGTACATTACAAAGAGTGGATGTCAGTTGGCACGCCCCCAGTTTCGAGCAAACAGGAGACACAGAAGCTAAGCTGTCTGACACAAAGGTAAAGCAGTGAAAACATTCCAAATATAGTGTATTTTTTTTAGGTGACTAAAATACCTTTTGTTACCGACCTCCTCCACAGCAGTACAGTGCTTAGCTGCTGAATCAGACTCCTGCTGCTTCTCCAATCTGGAGGCGTGCTGACTGATATCTACTGTAAGTAATTCTCTGAAGTACCCCATAAAACCCCATTTCAAAAAGTCCAAACTATCCCATTAACTTTTAACCCCAGGACATAAAATGCACTACTTGTTTTTCCGTTATCATGATTTTTTTAGACCCATCTGTAAATACACGTGCATAGTTCCATTCCTTTCTATTTTTTGTTTTTATTCTATTGTTATTTCAGTACAGTTTTTTAATATACATGTTATCATTTATTTATTTACTTTACTTTCTCTATTTATCTATATTTATCTCTGTCTTTTCTCACTACTGCAACAACCAAATTCTCGTCTGGGGATCAATTGAGATCTTATCTGATCTGATCTTACCTTGCCTCGCTTCGCTTCGCCTCGCCCTGTCAGAGCAACAAATATTTTTTCCTTGAGCCTCCCTGAGTGACTGGGGGGAAAAACATGACCCTCCCTCCACCATAAATAATCATGTTATATTTATATTTACACACAGCACAGAGGGAGTGAGAGTTATCACCATTACAAACTGCTGATTTCTTCAGCAAAATGCCAGAAAGTGTGCACACGCAAGCATTAGCAACGTTAGCACATAGCCTAATGCTCATTTTTCCAACTAAACTATACACAACAGTGGCAGGAGTAGTGGCCAAAATAATATTAGTAACTTGGTGTGGCGGCAGATTGGATTTTAAAAACGTACCCTTTGATGATCGAAAGTTGAAAATTGAAAACAAAACTCTAGAGTTGGAAAAGGCCTTAGTTTTTAACTATTGTCTTACTTGCAGGAGTGCAGGATTTAATGTTTGTTTGTTTTTTGCAGGATCTGTTTCCTGCGGTGAAATGTTAAATAAGACATGTAGAGTGAAGTGATTTTGATAGATTAGGTTATTTTTTCCTGGTGGGAGGTGTTGTTGTACATGATGTGTTCAAGGCTCATTTCTGTTTTCACTGTTTCTGATCATGATAAATGTGTAATTTTGGCAAGTTTTAAAGAAAACATGCCTTTTGGGGTTCAGATTGTGTTTAAAATCAGTACAAAATACAACCTGCTGTAATTGTATGTCCCTCCGCTAAGCCAAAATAAAATACAAAAGACTTGGGAGCCATTGCTAGTCTGCTCTGCAGGCAGTGAGTCCCAAGGACTAATTAGGTGGACAAAAAGGCAAAACAAGGACAATAATGCCAACAGGAACATGAATAGAGAACTGTTTGCTGAAGAGGATCATAACAGCTTGACTGATCAGTGTTATGTGGAAAAACCCAAGACGTGTTGAACAAGCATATTTTCTTCTACACATCCACATTACTGTCATTGCTTCCTGTTTAAAAGCTTAATAAAAAGAGTCCAAAGGCCACAGATACCACCCTAATGACACTGTTGTTGGCTGCTGAGCTGTTAACCACATACACTGATTAGTCATAACTTTGGAATGAGCTGAATAAAAAACCAACAAACTAAATGTCCAAGTCAGTTTAAGACGGTCAGAATCAGTACTGAATGGGACGGCCGACCCAGGGCCCACATTAGATCACACCGTGCTTTCTTTCTTCATCTCTTTTGACATAAATTAAACTGAGCTGATTCAAAACACCTTCATGTCATGGTCTGCCCTGTCTCCATCTGGCCACCAGGTGTCCCCAGACAACCTTACCTTGTTTTCTATTTACTCACCTGGGCCTCCTTCCCCCATTCACATACCTGTTTCTCGTTGCCTCATCAGCCCACTCAGTATATAAACTGGCCATTTTCCCCTTTGGTTTCCCTGTATCTGTTTTATTCCTGCTGATTCTTCCTGTCCACCCACCAGGTTATCTTCTCATCTGCCTGTGAGCCTGTTTTTGTCTGTTTTTTTGGTTCTTTTCAATTAAAGCAATTTTATTGGATCTGTCAAAGACTGATGTCCTGAGTTTACCCAGGTTAATAATGTGTCTGTTTCATGTCCCGTTTCACAGATATGTGACTCATAAGGAGCAAACCTTTGTCACCAGTTGACAGTTTCACTTGGTGATTTTTTTTTTCCACTGGTTAAGACGAAGGGTTGTAGCTTGATGTGTTGAGTTGGATTCTTCTACATGTTGTACTAGATGGTGCAACCTGTCACAAGGGTTGTCATGATTTCCTTTGAGCTCAGGATGTGGGTAGAGTGTTGGCTGTAGCTGAGACCGAGGACAGCATCGATGCAGTATGGAGATCACCTCACTCTGTCTACTACTTTGTAAGAAATGTTACTTTTTTCAATAGTTTCAACAGATACAATTTGGTTTGATCACTCGTTTTTGTTTACTCATTCAATTGTTATTTTATGGCTGTTGTTTCTTAGTAACTGATAACTGCACTGACATAGTTTTACTGTCATTGCACAGTTACAGAGACAATTAAATACAGTTAAGCACCAAATTGGAAGTGCAAAAAGCAGTACAGTGCACAGTATTGTAAATTGCAATACTATACAGCGCAGGTATAAGTGCAACTAGGATGCAGCAGTTAGAGCTTTGATTGTCTGTCCAAACCTGACTGGGCGTTAACTGACCCACTGGGTTCAGGCTGGGCTGTAATTTCTCATCAAGCCCCCAGGCTTGAATCTGTTTGGGCTCTCACCAGTTTCCTGGTGTTGGATCTGTCTACTTCTGTATCAGGGTCCATTTTGTGCCAGAATAGACTCTGGTGCTCAGAGTGGCTATTTACAAACGCATCTTGTGTCACAGATGTCTGCTAACACGCTGAAAAGACTTGAGACGACTTTAGCTTGCAGTAAATGTTTTTAATAGTCAAAAATATGTTATTTTTTACAGTGGAAACTGTTCTTGTTTTTATCAGGCTCTGGCCCCAAACTGCTGCCACCATTAAGGCTCATGTCAGACTTGGGCAGATACGATGTAGGTTTAGGCCTGATTTTTCGGGGGGTCCAATCAAAGCTCAAGTTTTTTTGTTTTTTTATCTGGACCCCATTCCAGTTTGTTGATAAGTGAATTGCCTTAATTGATTCTGACACAAGTCTATATTTTGGTTCTTTGAAGCTGGCTTAAATATATATCTGAAGCTGTTATCCTGGCAGAAAGTCCTTAAACCGAAGCTGCAAAAGTGCAGCCTTGTTAAAGGTCCAGTGTGTAGGATTTAGGGGAACATATTGGTAGAAAATATAATAGGTCTGTTTTCTTTAGTGTATAATCCCCTGAAAATAAGAAATGTTGGGTTTTTGTTACCTTACAATGAGACGTTTATATCTACATAGGGAGCAGGTCCTCGTCTACGGAGATTGCCATGTTGCACCACCATGTTTCTACAATAGCCCAGAATGGACAAACCAAACACTGGCTCCATGTAGGGCTGTTCTCTTCTTATATCAGCCACTGTAGTTAGTAGCTCCTCCATGATCATGACCGGATCGTGACCAAAGCCTTTGATATAAAATCCATTTTTTAAATAAATCCTTTATAAAGATGAAAATGTTGATTCACCTTGATTCATTAAATTGGTGCAATAAGACCAAGAGCACAGGGTTTGATGTCTCTGTTTTTAATCAGGCACAAAAACGTGTCAAACTTTTGTTCTTAAAATCATGTCTTTCATTTCCTGTTTGAACCACCAGCAGCCACACTGAGCATCCGTCCTGACAAATCTCAGTTCTTTCGGTACGACCGCATCTATCTGAGCTGTGATGCACCGCCAAACTCTACCGGCTGGACACTGAGGAAGCACAACTCCTCTGAGACGCCTGAACCCTGCGAGAATGGCTGCATGCTTGACGACGTCTACCCGTCAGACAGCGGAGTGTACTGGTGTGAGTCTGAGCAGGGCGAGTGTAGCAACACCATCAACATCACAGTGACCGGTATGTCCGCTAATGAGCTTGTGTTTTGTTTCATATTGTGTTTATGTTTAGTGTGACAAAAGAACCTCCCAACTCCCAACTGGTCAATACAGCAGCTTGGTCAGTGGCCCTTCACATTATGACACTCATATATATGAGTAGGCCTACCCCCCATCACTGCCTGATCGGTACCTGAAACCCGATTTGTTCAGGTCCTATCCCCTGACCAGTGGGCAGGGATGGCTTACTGAACATGCCTACCAGGCACAGGCCCCTCGGCCCAAAGTGTCAGGGCCCCCCCTGGCCTGAATGTGCAAAATCGCCCCGAAATAAACACATACCAATCAGGAAGAGACCCAAAGACCACAACAGGACACAAAAAGACTACAAAGCGATGCAAAGTAACTGCAAAGAGACGCAAAAACAATCTCCATAACATTACCTCAATAAGACACAGAATTATCTCAAAGAGACCCAAACGATTACAAAAACACACAAAATGAACCACAAAAAGATGCATAATGACCACAAAGTCTGTGTGTCTTGGAAGTGGAGAGGTGGTGGGGCCCTTTGCCTGTGTCCACGGGCCCATTGTCTCATAACCCGCCCAGTGGGTTATTCTGACCCTAACTATTCAAAGTCTAAAACCAAAACATTGTTCAATGGTCACAGTTTGTTTAGGTTTGGAAAAATGTCACAAGTTAAAGTAAGTTAAAATATCTAAGTGTTGACTTGGGACACAAACAGCAGCCTCCTTGGTCAAAGTCCTGTGTTTGTTTGACCCATCCATCCACCTCTACTTCTCCTTACACGGACTTTGTCGCTCTTTGTACTGCATCACTTCACTTCCTACTGCTGCCACGTAGAGCGTCGTGGTTTGAAGTGTAGGGCCTCTGACCAAGCTGTTTGATGAGTTGGGAGTCAGAATGTCTGTGCCAGCCAATAAATCAATAGGGTACACAGATGTAATCAAAGGAAAAAGACCGGCACAGGTTGGTCAGGTGAGGCTTTATGACCAAAACAGAACCTCAGTAGCATGGCTTACAGATTAAATGTAGAGATTACAGTAAGAACTACTCTACTTGTCTTTAACAAAAACAACAGTGACACCGTGTTTGCTCTTCTATATTTCAGCTGGTGTCGTGATACTGGAAAGCCCTGCACTTCCTGTGAGGAAGGGAGATGAGGTGACTCTCAGCTGCACCCACAAGGAAAGATACTCAAATAATCCTACATCAAATTTCTCTGCCGCATTCTACAAAAACAGTGTTTTCATTGGTACCGAGCCTGATGGAATCCTGACCCTCCGAGCGGTGTCCATGTCTGACAAAGGATTCTACAAGTGTAAACACCCGACGAAAGGAGAGTCGCCGCAGAGCTGGCTGGGTGTGACAGGTGACACGCACTGCTCTCTACATACAACTCTGAATTATATTGAAGCGAGCCTCGCATTTGTTGAGCTACTGTGAATATGTTCAATACAGGTTTCCCACTCTTCATCTCTACATAGTACCCAATTCTTCCTGCCATTTTTCCTTAAATGGTTTTGATGATGGGCATTTTAACTTTTGTAAAATGTAGTAAAAATGAGACACAGCACCTTTTAGTATATGGTTTAATAGCCAAGAGACTGTCTAAAGCAGCATGATGAGGTTTCTGCTCATGGAGTGGGGAATGAGCCTTTAAAGAGTGCTGCAATTTTAGACAACAACCTGGTTTCACTCTGAAATCTGGCCGTTGGGCAGTGACTTGCGGCATCAGGCACTGTTGAAGAAAGTCGTCCTTCAACGTCGGCATGATTCGCGGTGGGTCGTCATTGTAGTTTAATGGTGCTCTGTGGTGTCGGGGGAAACAGGGTGGAACCAGAGCAAAAGTTAAGGTGGCGAAAGTCCAAGGAGGGTAGGCAGGTGGAGCGGTGGATGGTTCCAACAACCACCAACTTTCATCCAGAAGAGTGGTGTTCACGTCTCCCAAGAATATAAATCCAAACCCTGCTCTTTATTCCTAAACCATTCCACGTGTCTTTGTTGCCTAAACCCAATCACATCTGTTAGTTGTTGGAGGAAAAACCGTCAATTCGGGTTGTTGTGCTGACATAGTGCTTTTATTTTGAAATAAACTGTATGCAAACTGTACATTTCCTGTGAATACTAGTGATGGGCAAAGCAGTTCTTTAGATGTTACTGAATCACTAGAATCAGTTCATTAAAAAGATTTGTTCAAAAGATTTGTTCACCGAATCGTTCAGTGCTTGGCGGGAGGAGTCCTGACTGTGTGCTGCGTAGTCCAACTCACTGAACTGATACACGGCTGAGCTGCTGCTACGTCTGCCCTGCACTAGTGAGTCTCATTATTGGCCAGCCTATCGTTTTAAGTTTGTTTATCTGGAAACTAAGTCTGTTAAAACAATGAGGAGGTGTGTGATTGTGTTCATGTGGCTTGACTCCTGGCTACATTAGCCATTAGCTTGGAGAAAACGGTCTCTATGAAAGTGTATCGCTGAGAAGAAATTATTTGAATCAGGGATCGGGGTTACGTCCCTCACCGAGTGATTCGTTCACCGAGTGATTCATCACGTGTTAGGCAGTCCCTCCCTGCACCCTGGCTGCCTCGTGACTCGCAAGTGATTCATCGTTCGCACGGACCGAATCGGCAGTTCCACTCCCGGCCTGCACGCTCACTGCTGAGCTCAACTGAACTGAGAAATGAACGAATCAGTTCCGGAAGTGATTCAGTTCAGTACGTTCACTCAACAGATTCGTTCTTTTGAATGTTTCATTTGTGAACGTCACAACACTCATGAAAACATTTGTGTATTTTGAAGGAAGACAGTGCATGTAACAGGCAGAACTTGACATGGCATCCCAGAAAGTCAAAAACCAACACACCCAAGTACCTTGCACGTCATATGTGGACATGGAAAGTCCATGACCAAACTTCAATATTTGACGAGGTCCAAGTGAGAATGTGTTGTCGAAAGCGGAAGAAATGGGGGGTAGAGATTGAAAGGTCTGCTGCAGTTGCTGAAACGAATCAATGTGATCACGAATATACAAATCTCCCTCCAAGTTGTGTAAATGCATGATTGAAGCATATAGGAGTGTCCAGGTATGTTTTAGGAGCCTTCAAATCCAGTAACACCTGAGACCAGATTGTCAAAGAAGTGCAGAACTAAGGGTTTACTATGGTATGTCTTTCTTAACCTTAGTTGGGCTGTTAAGGACTGCTGGGAGACAGAAACACTTGCAAGAAAGATATTTAATCTGTAGCCATGAAGCCATCTCTTCCGGGTTGTGGCTATGTGGGCAGCCATGCCAGAGGGAAAAAATATTTAACTGGATAGCTAGATAGTTCAGTCTAAATTGGGGGAGACCAAATCCACCTTTACTCCTACCTTTACTTAAATGCTTCTTAGAAATTCTAGGTACTTTGCTAGACTAAATAAAAGATGAAACAACGTGGTCCAGTTTTTTGAAGTATAACTGGGGCAATGCTTACTGTAAGTGACTGAAAAATGTATAAAAACCTTGGTAACACTACCATTTTTATGGCATTGATTCGACCCACCATTGAGACAGGCAAAGTTTTTGAAAATTTTATGTATTCCTCCAGCTGTTTCATTTTCCTAACCATTTTCAACATTTTTATCTGACATTAAATGACCCATAATAATTTGGCCCAGTGCAAGGTTTCTGCTTGCATGTATTGTTTTTATAGTATTTTGATATCAGATCTTGTTTATTTGGGTATTTGGGTTCATCTCACTTGCAGTGAACCTGTGCATAAGTGTCTTTGTTCGACTATCCTCTTGTTGTGCTCTTTGGTGAATATTCATATGCCCCTCTGTAATTGGATTTTTTTGTTAATTAGTGTTGAAAATTATTCATAATATTTGGATAAAAACATAACTGATTATTTGTCATGTTTGAAACTGTCCTCCTCACAGTGAGAGCTCAGACTCCAGGTGTCCCTCTTCCTGACATGCCTTGGTACAGACTGGTGTGCTCCCTCCTGCTGTTCCTCCTCTACAAAGCCAAACTCATATTGTGTTTTTACATGTGCTGCAGGCTGGCTCTAGGTAAGAACACCTCTGAAAATATACAATAATATGATATATTCATCTCAGTATGTGTTATATTTTCTGTTGGCTTCCTCCAAAAGGGGTCAGAGGTCAGAGCTGACCTGAGAGCTCTTAGAGATGATGAGAGACGCCACAAAGACACCTGAATGTCAAATACTAGTGGTGAACTAAACCATCTCAGAACATATAATCCTGAATTCTAATCTTGAGACTTGAATAACCCCAATTTTACTTAAAGTATTTGCTTCAGGTTGAGCTCGTTTGAACTCCTTTGTATACTTTTTAATCTCTAGTAATACATCATATTCTATAAGATCATCATATGTTTGTAGTGTGGCTGTCCTGTGAGAACCATGTATCTCGAAAAAGCTTTGTGACGATGACTTTTCCAGCTGATCCAAGAGGGTTTTTAAAGAGTTTATTTAGCATAAAGAAAAACTTCCTCTAAAAAAATGACCATTCATACGTCATTACTCACTGCGTGTTGAATTTGTGAAGAAAACTCTCTCACATACCTCCTTGGTGAATGGGGAACCCAAAAAAGCAGACATTCTTTATGAATCCTTGCCCTCGCAAACAAAGAGGCCATTAACCATCAGATGACAGGGACGGTGAAGAACGGGCCGACTTAGGAGAGAATTGTCGAAGGACTGACCAGCCGCGGCTTCCCTCCCACGTCACTGTTTACGTCACACGCTGAGCTACATGTTTTGTTACTTGCTCACGCCCCCCGTTGCCCCGAAAAAGGCACATTGTGTATGAACAAAAGTAGGTAGGCGGCATTTTGCTGCACTCCCCGATTTTATTTTATACTGACAGCATTTATTGGTCAATGTATACCTGAAAGTCATGTCGAAAACAAAAGTATGTAAAAAGGGGAAGTACTGACTTGGATTACACTGCACGAGGTGTGTGAGAGTTTGTGAACAGCTGTTTTGATATTGTGAAGCTGATGTTAAAAACGGTCCCCCTTTACTAACGCTCGTCAAGAATGTTTGCCTTTTTTGGATTCCCTGTTCACCACGGAGGCATGCAAGAAAAACAATGATTTCTTCACATATTTAAGGCGAGTGATTTACAAATGATTATTTTGCAGCTGAAGTGTTCTTTTAAGAAGTAGGGGAATTTTCTCAACACATAAAGGAACACTTCATCCTTCATCAACACATCTGGAGACTCACAGTGAGGAGAATCCAAATATTTCAAAGTCTGTGCCTTCAAATCCAACCAAAAATCATTACTGGTGTATCTGTAGATCAGATGTAACCCAGAAACAGTTTCCACTCTGAGTGTGTTCGACTCTTTTGTCTCTGTTGTTCATGCAGCTACTTCACATCCTCTTTTACTGAAATGAGATGGACAGGTGTGATTCTGTGGTTTCCTGTGAGAAAATCAACAGTCAAAGTCACGTGTTTGGAGGTACATGGTTTCCACTGGACAGGAAGTTTGTGAGCTGGTTGTCATAGTAACACTGGTAGAAAGCAGGTAGTGAAAAAAAGAAGAAGAAGCTACACACACTCCTCTTAACCCTCTCTCTTCTCTGGTTTTACCTGCAGCTCGAGCTGATGCTAAAAGGAGAGCGTCTGATCATTGAATACTGGAATGAAGAAGAGGAAGAGCTGTGAGTGTTTATGTGCTGACTAATCTGACTGGGAAGAAGGCAATATACTTATTTTTGTAAAGTAGCTTTTTTATTAGCTTCCCTTCACTGGCTCCTGTACAGCAGGCAGTGATGGCCAATGAGGCCTCATGAACCACCGTCTTTATTCTCTGAAGCCACTGGATGGCACTGTCTGTTAAACAAAGGTTTGAAAGCACATTTCACTGCCATTCCTTCAGCCTTCATCTTTAAACAAAGAGCGCCATCTGGTTGGGTCAGAAAATTAAAAAAAGTGGTTCATGAGGCTTCATTTGGCCATCACTAATTTAACATGGTTGGTATTTTTTTTTCACCGTTATAATCATTAAAAAGCAAAAGCAGCATGTGTATACATTCAGTAGGCTATATCTTCAGTAGCTAGCTAGCTAACCCTACACTTTTCAGGGTTTGAGTTTGTAGTGTCTCTCCTTTGAATACAGGACTTTTATTTGTGACATTATATATTCACAGTGTGGTAGCAGTGCTTTTACCAAAGTAAAGAATCTGAATACTCTTTCCACCGATGACGATGCCTTAGCACAGCAACACACCTGGAGCCACAACATCATTTCTACTCTTGTCCCAAGAGTACTTTAATTTTTCATACTTGAAGTACATTTTGTTGATAATATTTAGGATGCAGTTTTGAATGCAGCTGCTACTTTTATTTGTAGTGCAGGACTTTGTGACACCCACTGTTTTTCAACAAAAGTTGTTAAAATTTCTTTAATTTCTAACATAATATGTGTCAATATAAATTATCTGAATTGGACTGGTCTAATAAAAACAAATGTCTGATTCATTAGTAAGTCTTTCCACAACAAGGGGACAAGGAAAAAAACTTACCTCTAACGCTCCTTTTAGTGAGTGAGTCCAAAATAATAAATACAATTAACTTGAGGTTTGCTGGATGAAGAGCTGAAGATCTCACCGCCATTATTTCATTACTTAATGAATGATAGATAAAACAGTCAATGCTGGTCGGGTGTTGTCAAAAGAGGCATCTGCTGACTCCTCAATGGTACTTTGGCTTGAGTGAGCCTGTACTTGGTCATGCAGGAAGTAGCATGGTAGACATGGGTGAGCTTTGAGACAAAGGGCCCCACCAGCTCGCCCACACAGGAGCAAGACACATTGAGTTAGTACTGGTTTTGTATCTCTTTGTCGCCTTACACATCTTTTGGTAGGTTTGTGTCTCTGTTTTTATTTTGTGTCTCTGTTTTTATTTTTTGTCTCCTTGTGGTTATTTTGTATCTCTTGGAGGTCATTTTCTGTATTATTCATTTAATCATTTTTGCCATTTTGTGTAATTTTGTATTCATTTTGTGTCTCCTTGTGGTCTGTAGTTGTTTAGTCATTTAGGTTTTTTTATTGTGTGTCTCTGACTTAACTTTATATGTCTTTTAGATAATTTTGTGTCTTTTTGAAGTAATTCTTTATCTCTTCTGGGTAAATTTGTGTCTCTGAGGTGATGTTGTGTCTTACTGGAGTAAATTTGTGTCTCTTGGAGGTAACTGTATGTGTCTTTGAAGTGATTTTGTGTCTTATTGGGGTGATTTTGTGTCTCTTAGTCATTTTTGTAGTCATTTTCTGTCTCCTTGTGGTTGTTTGTTTGCAGTTATTTTTGTTTTGTTGCCGTATGGGTCTTTTTGAAGTAATTTTGTGTCTCATTGCAGTACTTTTATTTATATTTTGGTTGTTTTCTGTCACTTTGTAGTCATTTGTGTCTTTGAGGTAATTTTATTTATTCATGCATTTTCCGTAACCGCTTATCCTGTTGGGGGTCGCAGGGAGAGTGGAGCCTATCCCAGCTGACACTGGGTGAGAGGCAGGGTTCACCCAGGACAGGTCGCCAGACTATCACAGGGCTGACACATAGAGACAGACAACCATTGACACTCACATTCACACCTACGGACAATTTAGAGTCACCAGTTAACCTGCATGTCTTTGGACTGTGGGAGGAAGCTGGAGTACTTGGAGGAAACACAGGGACATGTGGAGAACATGCAAATTCTGTTCTACCCCGGTGTACCATGCCACTGATTGGCTGGTTCTTTGGTCATTTTGTGTTTCTTTGCAGTTCCCTTGCATCTCTTTGTGGCCTTCCTGGTGTATGAATCTGATATTTGACATTTTGCAGAGGAAGGTCAGGGCTCCCCCAACACCTGGGACCCAAGGCCTTGTCCGGTAGGCCACTTCAGTGATCCATCCATGATCGCATGCAAATGCATTCAATCAGATGTAAGGATCAGCCATTTATATTCAAGGACTCCCCATGTTACTGATTTTTGCCTCATTCATTTAATTGTTATGACATTATCTGATGCTATTTTTTTGAAAGCACTTTTTTGAAAGTTAGGTTAAATTTTGGTGAGGGTAAAACAGCATGCCATTCATTTTTTTGCAGTATAAATGTGTTATTTTTGCTTCTTGTATTCAAATGTTTATACAGATGAGTCCCTAAACAGTCTTGAAGTTGCTACCACCTATGAGCTGACCACACAGGTGCAGCTAATCAGGCTGATGTCTGCAGGCAACCGCACCACCAAAGCCAGCAAAGCAGACCTATGGATGAAACTAAATCGATGAAGTTAACTACAGTGTTCTCTAAATTTGTGGAAACTGACTGCAGACCAATCAATATGGTGGAAGACTCAGGTCTAAGTGATGTCCTCAGGTTGACATGTTGTGACCAGTCATTTGCCTTACCCTCTTGGGTTTAATGCACACAGGACCTTTATGAATCATCGAAAGCAACTAAACTGGATCTCCTGAAAAGTGACATGGTGTCATTTGATCCCCAATCAAGACACTCTGGTAAGAGTTGCTTTGCTTTGTTAATACGGGCTTCAAAATGAATCGTCGGACAGTGTAGATAAGTTTCACATTTAGTTCAGCTTCCAGTCATAAAGTGCTGTCTGTTTGAGAAGTACTGAGCGTATGACTGGATAAATGAGACTTAAGCGTGGACCCCTATGACTTCAATTCATCAGGATTTTTCTCCGTTTTTGGATTCCTCATTCACCGTATAGGCTGCAACATAAACAGATGTTCTTTTTATTAAATCAGTGTACTTTGGTTTGAGTAACTGACATACGAATGATCATTTGGAGGGTAAAGTATTCCTTTAATAATTTTTCTGCACGCACTGAACCATCTGATCAGTTTTATGTTTAAAGAACAAAATATTATTGTCAAACTGATAATAAGCTTAATGCTACATACATTATATTATTTGTATTTCTTATTCCTCTATAACAGTGTTTATCATCTGTGCTGCCCGTGTTAAATACCTTTTGTTTTCCAGTCACGAGGCTCTGTTGTACAGCACTGATCTCAACCAGTTTTTTTTGGACATTTCTATTGATCAAAAAGCTAAATGCTGACATCTGTGTGTCACTGGATAAGAGGCAGCTTTTAGTAACTGATGGTACCAGGTAGAAAGTTAGAAGTTTATCAAAGTTATAACATGTCATCCTCTGCTGTTCATGACTGTAGATTTTTTTATTTTATTTCTGGCACCAGAGATATTGATGACACTACTTTTTGCGCCTTATTTGCAATTTCAGTATCACTTCCGGACTTTTATTTTGAAGCTCAGCAACCGATTTGCCCCGGAAGCTGTATTCTTTAGTGTGGCTAACGTCACATTGTGTGAACAAGATGGCGTCTCGCAGAAACAAGTGTTAGCAGAGTGTGTTTGTTGTGTTTTTAAACATGTCTAAAGTCCAAATGCTGAGATCGTTGTTGAAGCAGCGACTAACTGCGGCTGCTGAAGAGATATTTGGGCTGTTTGAAAGAACGATAGCAGAGTACGAGGAGGAACTTTGTCGATCAAAAGAGGAGAACGAGCGACAACGGAAACTACTGGACGCTGTTTTCAACCCTCAGCTTCGGTTACACAGAGCAGGTTTGTTCATTAAACATTACAAGTTCATTATTAATAATATAACTGCAGCTTTGTT